GTGGTGTCTTAACTTCCCCATTTCTTATTTTGCAGATATAGTATTTTTCCCTTTATGGTAACAATTTTGTTTTGTGTCCCTGATGACTTCCATGCCTGCCCTTAATCAGGCTTTCTCTAGTCCTGTTTGTGCTAGTTTTGGTACTTAAGCATAAGTACTTCATTACACCTTCTCCTTTTAAACCTTGTCTAGGTTTATGTTTTGAATTCTCTCATGTTTTCTGAAGCATTTTCAGTAAACCCACTCTGTTGGAACTGCATACAGCCTGAAAGCACAACCCTCCCATTTTCCAAACCATTGAATGTGATAGTCAAAACCCATGTGGGTCATGGAATCCTACCAGGACACCTGCAAACCCATAGCACATCTTTCTGCAAACTAGAGAAAGGTGCTCTTAGGTGCCCTAAGGGAAGATGTGACCCTGATCTTGTGCACATGGAGCAGGGAGCAAGGGCAGGCTGGGTTTCAGACCCCTCTCACTGCCACAACTGAGCCCATTAGTCATGTATGAAGACCCTTTAATCTTCTTGGGCTATGTGTGCATGGGCTAGGGTCTAGTTTGAGCCTAGGGTCTAGTTGCTGGGCGCATATCATGTAGGATGAAGGTCAAATACTCAGGAAAACTTAGTAGCAGCCTAGTAAAATTTTAGTTAGAAGAAAATGTCACAGTTAAGTATACCTGAATTTATGGAGGTAGTATACTGTATTTAAAAGTTTTTGAGTTGGATAGAAATTGATTTTAATTCCAGCTTGGCTGCTTAGTAGGTCACCTCACTGAAACTCCATTAAAAATCTGCAAAATAATGATAATACCACATTTCAGAGACTCTAGACTGCATCAACTGTAAGATATAATCATCATTACAGGGGTTTTTAAAATATAAAAAATTTAAAATCAGATTATGTAAAAGTAGCTAGGTGGGATGATTAACTGTATCCTGATTTAAAGTGTTAAGACTATAAAAATTGTGCATCTTAGAATATATGGCACATGGTAATACTCCCTTATAGCTAATGGCTCTTCTCTGTGAGGATTAAATGAAGTAACATATGTCAAGTTCTTGCCACGGCTCAGAGTCAGTGTTCAATAAATGGAGGCAGTTGTTGAAGCTGGTGACTAATAGTAACAAAAGAATATACTTGACTCAGGTCTTCATAATCTAGCAAAATTACCTGGCTGTTGTTTTTCCCCTACTCCAGGATAAGACACCAGAAACCAACATGCACAAGTAGGTCTAGAAGTAAATCTCAGAGGAAGATTAAAGTACAGAAAATGTACAAAACTGGAAAATAGTCCTATTTATTCTGCTGATGGAGACCCAATCTGATTTCCCCAAATCCCAAAGATACAAGAGCAACATTTTTAAAGAGAGTATTGTTTAGATGGTGGGTTGGGATCCTTCTCTGGATTTGGGGTAGGAGAAAGGAAACTTTCAGAAAGTTTTGTCAGCTCTTTTAGTGTTTGTCTTTTTCCTTCATCTCCCACTCACAGTAACTTCTATGACATTTCCTGTGATTTTCAAAATGAGCATTGACTTGATTGGCTCACTCGTGAAAACCCTTCTGTGCAGCACCCTGTGACGTTAGCTCTCATTTAGGCCTGGACGGGTCTGTGAGGGATGAAGACGTGCCAAGAGGTGTCAGTCAAACCCTTTCACCTGCCTCCAAAGCAGCTGGTTCCTGGACTGGTCTAGGAGTGGGACTTATGCCAGAAAACAGCCATTCATTGTTCTCTGTTGCCAAAGACAATGCTGCCAGTGGTAGAAAGAGCTCTGATGTAGAAACACTGATGCCAGAATTCTAATGAGTGAAAAATGTCCTGTTTTTTGCACTACCTCCAAAGCATTCTATTTCTTTTCCCACAGTTTGGGCTCAATAGCATTTCCAAAGACAGATAAATGGAATCAGGGTGTATATGAACATGTTCAAAACACCACTGACATGATGAAAAGCTTTTGTGTGTAGAACAGGTAAACACAATGAAAATGACTCTTCTATGGAAACAAATATTCTATTATGTTTTTTATTCTTCCATCTCTGATCTAAACTTGTTTCAGCATCAGGTTTGATCTAAATAAATAATGAACATAGAAGAACAAAAAGAAGTTTGTGGCAAGAGTTCATCTACCTAATTTGGGGTGGCTTGTTATAAGAAAAACAAATAATATGGAAGTTTCAGATTTAATGACGATGCCATGTAAATATAGATTTCATGTGGTCACTGTCAAGTTGATAGCCTTCAGAATGAAACTCAAGTGGCAGCTCTAGGTCACAATGCCAGAGAAAAGCCAAATTACCTGAGAGGACAGAGACGACCTAAACTTTAAACATGTGGGCTGGTCGATCTGTAGTTCCCACACACCTTTTTCATTTCCTTTCTGCAGGCCAATTACTCTCACGCTCCACTGCATCTCACTTCTGCCCAGGGGCCAGAGGCAGCAGGTGGCACAGTTTGGGAGTGAAGCTGAGTCATCATCCCATGCAGGTAACGATACATCCCCGCCATGCTCTTACCTCCTGACCTTTAGATTCACAAAAGGACTCACTGGGAACTGAAAATGTCACTTGATTTAATTTATTCCTGGGAAGTACTAGCTAGTTCTGCTAGTTCTCCTAGTAAAGTCATAAATATCCTGAAAACAGTTCCTTCAAGGTTACCTTGGAAATTTTAAATATGTGTATCAATTCTACCTTATACCTCCTTACTCTTAACCTTGTGTCTGAGGTGCAGTGATGGTGGGTTTGCTCAGTAATGGGGTTGAGTCTCAGTGACCCACTTACCTGGGCCCCCTTGGATCAAGAGCACATTTGAAAGATGAGTGACTAGAACACCAGTGTTAGTCTGCTATTTGCACAAAATGAAGAGTGACATTGGCTTTATTAGTACCACTGAACTAGCTGCTTTCTTGTTAGCAGTGAATGTTGGAATCTCAACATTGTTAGTCTCCAGAAAAAAACACAGGTCTACTTGCCCAGGGCTTCTGCTAGCATATCTGCAATTACAGACATCCCCTGTGGTAGCTCAATTACAGCCTCACAGCCTCTGCCTCTGCCGTGCAGCCGCAGGGCAGCCTCCGACTCACCTAATCTCAAGAATGTGGCAAACTGGATCCATCAATACACATTACTGCACCAAAATTGTGGAGAATCTAGGATTGTTTGTGACAACAACTCAAGGTCTCAGACTGAAAAGCTAAGTATATTAGCATAGGTCGTTGGTGCCTTCCGTCAGTGTTGTTCCATCAGTTTCATTCGTGATGGAACAGTTTTATATTGGTATAAGGTGTTAGGTATTTTTTAAAGAGCAAAACCTTATACTACGTGTGTGTGTGTGTGTGTGTGTGTGTGTGTGTGTGTGTGTGTAGAAGCTACTTATTTATTTATTTGAGAAGCAATTTATAAAAGTTCTTTCCCTCTTATCTCCCCAGGAATAAAAACAGACCATTGGGTCTTTTGAGTCAGATAATGCTCACAGGTTGGCTGATCCATGGAAGCCTGCTTCCCTGTCTCCCTCCTGGCCGCCAGCCAGGTAGGTAGATCAGCACTGACCTGCTGTCGGGTATCTGCTTTCCTGCCCCAACCAACTTCCTTATTGCTTTGGGTCACTGATCCTGAATCAGATAAGCTATGAATATTATCTCCAGAAAAATGCACACGCTCTTAACCCCTAATTTTTTTCATGCAGCTTCAGGAGTTTGGGGCCCAGGCCAAGAAAAGAGCTTTACATAGGGTTTTAAGAAACCAATTATATTAAAGAAGTTATTAAAAATTTAAAACTTTTTTTGGTACAGAAATATCTATGTGTTTTTATATAAAAGCATTAAACAATCAGATCTAATGATGAGTCTAATAACTACTGTAATTTTGAAGTACTGATGACTATAAAAGATATTTTAGGATGTCTGCCAACAGTGCTGTGAAATGAAAATATCTGTGATTTCCACTGGTGACAGGTGCTGCTAGTTCTGCTGTGGTCTGCTGCCTACACTCATCACTAAAGCAGTGCTAAACTGCAGTCAGAGGTCAGTGCACATGGAGGTGCATTTCCCCTCATCCCAGACCCTGGACTTCAGGTTACGAACCTCTAAGACTCTAGAGGTTCTTGGCCTGGTGCTGGGTATAGCCCTTCTGATTCAGGCCAATGAGGAGAATATAGAGCTCCCATTTGCTCAAATAAAACATCCAGAGGTTATCACGATTTTCAATATCTGTAGAAAACACCAAAAGCAACATTCAGAGTGGCTTTTGTCCCATCCTTTTTTGTAGAGGGAGGAAGAGTGGGACAAGGGGGACTCAGAGACTCAGCTGTGAGCAGGCTGGTAACTTCTGCCTTCCCCACCACAGTGGCCAAGGCTCAAGGCATCCCCTCTGTGAGGCTGCCCCAGGCTGGGAGATGATTTCCATGTGTCTTCTAGCTTGAAATGAAAGACACACTTTCCTCTTGCTTTAACAGAGATCTGTGGCATACTTCTGTTGAGTCCGCCTCTGGCTTTACTCTACCTTTCTCGGGATGTTCACTTCAGTGGGGGAGCCCTGCTGAGCAGCTTGCATCCTGGGTAGACACACTGGCTCATTTTTGCTTCCTCCCATTGGCTTACTGAATGGTACCAAAAAATACGCACCTGTGCCAAAATGCTAAGTATAAGCCTTGGGAGGTGTGAGAGTGTTTCATAGCACTTGGAAAAATGAATTGTCACTGTAATCCTGTGGTGATGATAAGCTAAGGTATTGCTGAAAGACACCTGGGGAAAGCTTTCTCATTGGGATACTAGAGCTCAGGCCTGCATGGGGATGAAAGTTCAAGTTCTAGACAAAAGAAACTGCTTTTCCTGATGGTGGAAGGGAGGGATGACAAACTTCCAAGGAAAGGCATTCTCAAAGCACTTCCTTGGCAGGGCCCTCTGGGGCCAGGGTGCACGGCTTCTGGGAAGCACATCCTGGCCTGATTTTCACCAGGAAAATGGTCTGTGAGAGAGACTCACAGACGATCATTTGCTCACCAATTTTACTTCTTGCTTCATTTATATTTTCTCCCAGGGCCTTTGCTTCAGAAAATCTGGAGAAAAGAAAAAAAGAAATGAGAGTTTATTTTTTCTCTTCAACCTAAATTATGTTTTAAAAATGACAGATTTCTAAGAGGTCTCTAAATTATTATAAAACTTTATTAAAAGGCATAAAATAAAATCCAAATAAATGAAATATACTAGGTTTAAAATAAAGATAAATTTTGTATTAATCACTGGTATTGTGAATTTTTACTCCTCCACCCAGCATAGAATTTGCATTCTCATATTCACTAACTTGTGACTTTCAAATTCTAGAATAAAGCATGGCTGCACGCTTTCTGTGCTACGTGTGCTCCACGGCGTCAGGATCTTATAGTTATAGTCAAAGACCACGTACTTAGTGTAAATTAAGTAACTTTTTTTCTCTTATTACAAAGTCCTATATCAGAAGGCAGCAACCTGTGGGTGGTCAGGAGACAAATCCAGCCCACCACGAGCTCCTGCAAAGGGCCGGTGTTGGGGCCCAGCTGCGTCCAACTCACACACTGTCCGTGGCTGCTCGCCTGCTAGGACGGCAGAGCTGAGCAGATTGGACACAGGCTGCGTGGCCCGCAAAGCTGAAAATGTTTACTATTTGACCCTTTACTGAAACGTTTGCTGACTCCTATGATAGCTGACGTTAACCACATTTTGAAAATATAGAAACAAGAAAAAATATCTCTAATAATCCCTCACCCAGAAAGAAGCACATTTTGAAATGTTTCCAGTCTTTTTTCTAGCCAGTTTTTTTACAGTTAAGATCATGCCATATATATGGTTTTGTGCTTTGATTTTTTTTTCCACTTAGCATTATAATGTATTTCCCCATGTCTTTATTTTCCTCCCACTGGTTCTATATAATCCGAGAAAAACTTAAGCATGCAAAGGAAGCACGCAATGTTAAAGAGATGATGTGAACAATAGTGGTAGCTCGTCTGATGGAGCACCCAGTGTCCTTTCAGGAAACCGAAGATACTCGAAAGCTGCTCCCCAATTTCTATTAACCACCCTCTAAAAATGAACATTTTCATTTGATACAAACATACCCATTGAAAATAAGTGTGTAATTCAGAATGGTCTACCATTTTCAGATTGCCTATGTGCCAGAAAATATACAGTCAATAAAAAAATACCAGAAAGGTGGAGACAAAAGACTCTCTGGATCTGTACAGCAAACATGAGTATCACTTCAATAGGTAATGATTCGTGGAGAAAGTGGTATCCTTGGAAACCAGTAGCACTGAAAGGTGGCGGGTTGCAAATCTGGTGGTGGGGGATGAGATGTACAGTTAGGCCCACTTTCCCCAGCATCATATTCAAGGGTAAAAGGAGGAAAGTAAAAAGGAGGTAAAAGGAGTTCAGGTGAGATGGCAGAAAACAGCTGGTGGAGGCTGCCCACACGGTGGGTTTTGTCCTTCAGTCCTGAGACAGAGAAGGTGCTAAAAAAAACATGTTGATACCTTTGAACGAAATGTTGGATGAACAAAATAAGCAGCCTTCCAATTCCTCTTGTACTTGACATCAACGACATTGTCGAGTTTCTTTAGGAAGTCGGAGTCCAGGTGATTGTGTTCGCCAGTTAGTGTGTGAAAATATGCTAACTACATAGTCCTTCACAACAATGTGATCCATTACACAGATAAAATATAAGAGAGCCTTGTCCATATCTACTACTGTTATAGGAATGTTTCTTCCAATGACCACCATCACTGTGTGACCATAGTTGTCAACACCTGTTTGGTATAAGGCTTTTAGAGAAGCAATATCAGAGAGATATTCAGATCTTGCTTGACATAACCAGTGATTGTAACAGAATTCCTTTCAGCTATGAAGTACTGAAAAGAGATCGCACACCCATTGTTCTTAAAGTGGGTCTGAGGTCCTGAGCCTTTTTCCAGGGGTTTGCGAGGTGAAAATTATTTTCATAATAATACTAAAACAACCTATGCATTTTCCACCATGTGGATGTCTGCACTGATGGTGCAGCAACTGCTGGGTGAAACTGCAGGTGCCTTCGTAGGAGTCAGGGCAGAGGGCCCTGATGGGGAGAGCAGTCAGTGTCCTTCACTTCTCTGATGCTGCTTCTGCAGGGCTGCCTCTGAGAACAGTCCCTGAGGGATCAGTCTTCTCTGCTCATCAATATCTCCTTCATTCGAGCAAAAGCGTGAGAGCCAATGAAACAGAGATCAACTGCCAAGCCTTCATCCTCCTCTTCTTGGTCATCCTCACTGGGTTTCTTACTTATTTGAATCTGCTGTTCAGGTTCAGGTACCAAGGCTCCTCTTCGGCAGTTCCAATATCTGCAGGTAGGTACAGCAGTGATAACCCCTCCTCCTTCAGTGACCTTGGGAAGTCCAGAGGTAGCAGTTTTTGATAAGTAGCCTCTTTCAGTTCAGAGACAGCAAATACTACTTTTTCAATGGTCTCCCCCATGAATCTCAAAGATCTCCTTACAGTGTGAAGTGCTGTGTGTGTTGCATCCTCTATAGGATAACCTTGTTTTATAGAATTGTTGACACAGAATCCAACAGAAGAGATTGACTGCTCTTTTACCAGCTGAAGTACATTTCTGTAGCAGCTGTACAGGGAACTCGCAGCTGCTGTGTGGTAGCAGCCCTTGTACATTGGCCCCACTGCGTGAATGATGAACAGGGCAGCTAAATGAAATTCTTTTGTCAATTTGGCTTTACCCATCTAGCAACATTAAAGTTTCTTGAGTTCCTCCTTCAAATCAGACCCTGCAAACATAAATATACTGTCTTTTTTTTTTATACCCCCTACTGGGGACCTGGCCCACAGCCCAGGCATGTGCCCTGACTGGGAATCGAACCGGCGATCCTTTGGTTCTTGGGCCAGTGATCAATCCACTTAGCCACACCAGCAAGGGCTGAAGATACTTTCTGACACAAGATTCTTATCTAGGATTTTCATTGCTGGTGTTCACAATGGCCGTATAGTTCGGTAATGCCACATCTTTCCCGAGGAAACAAAGAACCACTTTTCCATTGATATTCTTTCTATATAGAAAAGTTGATCTAATAGTGTCTGTTTCAGTTGCAGTATCAGGACCACATAATTCATCTTCACAAGAGCCACCCCAGTTGGTAGTATATCCACAGCTACAAGCTGGGAAGGTGCACCCAAGGTATCCATAAAAAGGGAACTTCAGCTTGTCTTCTCCCAAATTCCTCAGCAAGTCAATTCACTGGAGACATTAGCCCCTCTCTCCTCCTGGATAAGCTGTCCCCAGCAGCACCTCGGGTGAGAGGAACCCAGCAGCCAGGGGGAGATGAGGCAGGCTCATTATTCCAGAGAACTGACAGAACTGACCCCGCCCCCACACCACCCCTCTGCCTGCAACCCCTCCGAGGCCAAGTCTGGGTGCCTTGCCTCCCCATGTCTTTAGAAACTTCTCCATTATCTCTGATGGCTGTCTACTTGGTGGCTGTTTACTAATGCACCAGATGGTTGTGCTGATATTTACTTAAAGATTCCTCTATATTTTCCCACAAATATTGATGAGACACTGTGGAGAGCTACAGAAGTGGTATAGGTTAAGGCCTACATGAGAAACATGCAGTCCAGGACCTTATGAAATATTAATTGCTTTCCCATATTCTCTTTTCTGCCATGAAACTGAAGAGGTCACTGAAAATCTACGAAACAAATATATAACATATGGCTACAGTATATCACTGTGCTACTGGGGCGACGCTGGTCATGCCATTACAGTGCTGGGGAGGGGCCTGTCCGTGAGACAGGAAAGCTCATGTACAACGTAGGACTGACCTGGATTTTATGGTGCATAGAACTTTTTAGAAAACTTTTATTATGGAAATTTCCAAATAGACACAAAATAGAAAAACAGAATGAACCCTTACATACCCATCATCATATGTCATTAATTGCCAACACTTAGCCAGTTTGATTTTAGTCATCTCCTCTCTCCCCATCCTCTCTCCACCTCTCAAATCTTTCTGGAACCCAGTAAAACCCAGATGTATTATTTACCCATAACTGCTTTAGTTGCATAGGTTTTTGTTAGAGGAAGGAGAGAGAAGAGGGCATTTCAGGCAGGGAACAATATGAGCAAAGGCCAGGGTGCCACGGCTGCTCTGTGCTTGATGGAAAGAAGTGTGAATTATGTCACTGCTATTTTCCAAATCTGTCTCCTTGGCCTGTGACTACAGACAGGGGAAGTTTCCAGTGAAGGGGACTAAATTTTCCCTCAACGTTAGGTTTCTTGGAACTCCACCCCTGGCTCTCTCATTAAGGGTATTCAGGCTCACCAAAGATTATGCATGTTCTCTCTTCAGTTAGGGCCTGTCACCTCCTGGAGAGGAGTGCAGTTTCTTTTGATGTCATGCAGATTGAATTTGGCTCAGTCTACATCCCTATGACATATAGGTCAATGTGTTGGGCTCTGTGGGCTTGCACTGGCTTTGTCTGCTGGGCAGTCATCATCTGAGGTTCTGTCCAGGTTGCTCAGAAGATGAGGACTCTTCATGCTTTGTTTCTGCCAAGTGGGGGGACTAGAACTATTTGATGGACACCCTGTACCTAGAATTTCATAGGATTTGATAGTCCTTCATTGCTCAATGAATGATTCCTCTTCCTGTCAGATCTGTAGAGTATGGAAACTAGAATTATGAAAATGCAAGAGCAAGGCTGCAAAGCTGCTGAAATTCATGTCACCACTGGAAGACAGCTGAGTGGAGCTAGAAAAGCAAGGTACTTTAGCAGAATAGGCGGCCTCCATAGCAGCACTGCTCAGAGAAACCCTGACAGGCCTGGGATGAGGCCCCAGGTGACCACACCACCACCACAGCAGTGCCGGAGGCATGGCAGAGAAAGCTGCTTGGTGCTGCCGTCCATTCTTTCCACAGAGCTACCCAGGTCTGGCAGACATGGTGGGGGACCCCGTGAGCTGTTCCAGCTTCTTCTCTGCAGCCCAGTGCCAAGCTAAAAAGGGCTTACCCACTGAAGAGGTGTGGCTGAGGGCTGTCCTGTC